AGTATTACAGTTATCTTTATTAGCGGAAAAGAAATTATATTCGAATCAATTTTAGGCAGCTGCTTTGGTGGAGGAAGAGACGAGACGATACAGACCAACCAAGAACTATTTGAGCTACCTTCCCACACCAGATTTCTCTGCTTTTGAGGTACAAGAAAAATACCCGTTCTGCTACTACTTTACTATAATCCACATGTTCACATAATAATCTTGGTGTTATGTTGTTCTCATTAGACCGAGATCATGAGGAATGAATTTGAGAGACTGTCAGCTCGTCAACCCATGGAGCTGCTCAGTATGAAGAGGCAAGTTTATTGAGCTAAACTTCTGTTACAGGTGGTCAACTCTAATCTTGTGTTCTGCTTAATGTAACCTATTCCAGTTTAAATTAAATTGCAATACATCTATTGTTTGTTTATTTGGATCCATATTAGCTTCCACAAAGTGGCTGCTAATCTTCCTGGGGTCCACATATCTGTACAAAACAAAATTCTTACAAATAAGTAAAAAGAGCCCAAATACAGTTACAGCAATCACATCACAAAAGTATACCTCCAGCAGTAGCAGCACATAAACATTTATATAAGCATATCTTCACATTTTCTTCAAAACGCATATGTGCAGTTACTCTTTTGTATATTTATGGGAACCATATTCCAAGCACCAGAGCCTTGATAAACAGTCTTTTTCATCAAATTTGTTTGTGGACATAGTAAAAAAAAAAGAAAAGATAAAACTAATGCCTGCACCTCATCTTTTAAAACTAAAGATGGAATAAATGCAGAACATTTCCTATCTACAGATGTCTTTGGGTGGAAAGGCTGCACTAATATTAATAGCGTGTAGCAGCCTATTTCCCAGTGAAGTATTACGCTAGCATAATCCTATCCACCTTATTTTGCAATGCAGAAGTAAGCTATTTTCTGTGAATATGCAAAATGCAGCGAATCAGTGTTTAGGATTATGATGATAAAATAAAATATAATAACAAATACCAGTTTTCAGTACAGCTAAAATAACCGGAAGTGAATGGATAAGATATGTTTCAATAATCAAACTAGCTTCACTGTTGATTACGTACAATGTGCAGATTTACTTTTACACATCCATTTATCCAAAGAGACTTATTTTGCATTCAAGGTACATGTTTTGATCAGTTCTTGGTTTCTCTGAGAATCAAACTTATGATCTTGGCATTGCTAGTGCCATGCTCTACTTTTGAGCTACAGGAAGGCCTAAATTAGTGGTCTGAGCTAGTTTCGAGTCTTCATCCTTATTTAAAAAAAAGTGAGTTGTTTGCTATTAAATCTACCTTTTTGTGCTTGTCTTCTTAGATATGAGCTTCCTGCTCCAACGTCTGGGCAGAAGAATGACATCACAGCATGGCAGGACTGTGTCAATAACTCTATGGCCCAGCTGGAGCATCAGGCAGTGCGCATTGAAAACCTCGAGCTCATGGCTCAGTATGGATCTAATGCATGGAAGGTGTCTAATGAGTAAGTGAACAGACCATTCAAGATCTGAATCTGTCTCAAGAACCTCCGTGTATTGATGTAAAGAAATGGTTCACCCAAAAATGAAAGTGTACTCACCCTCAGGCCATCCAAAATGTAGATGAGTTTTTCTTCATCGGAACAGATTTGAGAAAATTAGCATTGCATCACTTGCTCACCAATGCAGTGAATGGGTGCCGTCAGAATAAGAGTCCAAACAGCTGATTAAAAACATCACAATAATCCACATGACTCCAGTCCATCAGTTAACATCTTGAAGTGAAAAGCTGGATATTTGTAATAAATCCATCAAGGCGTTTTAACATTAAACAGCTTGTAAACTGTGCTTGATCTGTCCATATTACTTTACCAATTCAGTTGAGGTGACTTTTTCACTGAAGAAAGCAATATTATGGATAGAGTTAGTGCTGTCAAACGATTAAACGTGATTAATCACATCCAAAATAAAAGTTTTTGTTTACAAAATATACACAGTATATATTTAGGAAATATTTGCATGTGTTTACATGTATACATTTATATTCGTATAATTTATATTATATAAATATGTATAAAATATAAACCTATATTTTTCTTAAATATGTACATGGGGGTGTGTGTGTGTGTGTGTGTGTGTGTGTGTGTGTATATATATATATATATATATAATTTCACAGTACACACACATATATTATGTAAACAAACTTATTTTGGATGTGAATCGTTTGACAGCCCTAGATAGAGGACACATGTTTTAGCTGGAAGCAATGGTGTGTAGTTAAAGTCTTGATGGATTTGTTTCTTACAAAGATGCAGCTTTTTGCTTCACAAGATGTTAACTGATGGACTGGAGTTGTGGATTATTGTGATGTTTTTATCAGCTGTTCAGTCTCTCATTCTGACGGCACCCATTCACTGCAGAGGATCCATTGGTGAGCAAGTGATGTAATGCTACATTTCTCCAAATCTGTTCACACAAAGAAACAAACTCATTTACATCTTGGATGGCCTGAGGATGAGTAGATTTTCAGCAAATTTTCATTTTTGGGTGAACTATTCCTTTAATATAGGACCTACTTTGTATTACATTATTAAAGGGGTTAAAGTCAGTTTTGAAAATGGTGAACGCTATTTGCGGGGTCATGACTAAAAAGCTTACAGGATTAAAATGCTATTTAATTCTTTAATGACGCAATATAAATAGAAAATATAAACAATTGTGAGTTCTATTTGTGGATTTTATGTTGATCATAATTGGTTGTCTTCTCTGTGAAACAGTAACTTGGCCTTAATGATTGAAAATGCACAAAAGGAACTGCAGAAGGCTAGGTGAGTGACTTGTTGGTCAATGTAATTTACTTTACATATGGGTGTTGGATATTGTGGTTGTGCACAAACTATTTAACTAGCTTTTAAAATTAATCTTAATATTTCTATTCTCCTTTCAGAAAGCAGATACAGGACCTGAACTGGCAGCGCAAAAACGATCAGCTGGCTGGAGGAGCCAAACTACGAGAACTTGAGTCAAAGTCAGTACTTTATTATGTTTCTATATGAAAACCATTTCCAGAAATTCTCGAGTTAAATTCAATTAGTTTACTCCGCTCTGATGGAAGCGTTTCTGCTTATGTTTTCACAGCTGGGTGTCTCTCGTTAGTAAGAACTATGAGATTGAGCGAGCCATCATACAGCTGGAGAACGAAGTGGCACAGATGAAACAGCAACAGGGTGATGAGAACAAAGAGAATATTCGACAGGACTTTTAAATAATGAAGAGTTTAAGACCATCTTGAAACTGTCAGACTTTGCTAAAGCAAAGGATCACCAAAGTGTGATGTTGTGTTTCTTGTTTTGTTCCGTTTTTGTGACGAACAGAGAAAATAGTCTTTGTAAAACACAAATGAGCAATAGTGTTGTAGTGCAAACAGAGGGTAAGCTGGTGTATAGTTCATGATTTTGCACCAAAAATAAACAAGATGTCCATTTCAATTCTGGAAATCAGTAACTCACATTTGTTTACTGTATACATAAAGTAGTTATTGTGGGTGTGTTGACATTTATAACAATTTTGTGTTTATGTACGATTACCTGGTGGACATTTAGTTCATCTTAATTTTTATGTTCTACTCTATTTGTAATATTTAAAAAAAAAAATACAATAAAATGGTAAAATAATGACTTGCATTGTTCAGTTTCTCAGTGAAGACTCCACCAATGTGTCTGGAAAGGGAAAATATAAATTATCTAAGAACATCACAGGCTAAATTCCACACTTTTGGTATTTTTTTAAATCACTTAATTCCTGTCTCATGCCATTCCTGTTGATCTTCTACATGAACAAACTGTAGAAACAGCTATAGGGACCTGTATTGTACAGTAGTATAGATTAAAAAAATATTGCATTAACTTGAACATTTAACGTTTGCTGTGAGTTAAACTTTGATCAAAGTAAAGTTCAAAACGTTTCTATTAAATTGTTACATGCCACAGTGGTTAGTTACTTGCAATTAGTGGTCTGTTTGTGAGTCCTGAGGTATTTTAAATATCTTGCTTAATTGGGTGCTTTTTCTTTGATCTCCCAAAATAGTGCACACTGCTCATTAACTTGAATTTTTAAAAATCGATTTGAATGCAACATGGTTGGTTACTAAGAAATCTAATTCCTTGATCTTCCCATCACACTTATACAATATTTTCATATTCCATGCTGCTTCAGAATCTAAGTAAACTTTTGATACTAAAGTTGTATTGTGAAAACTGTTTAAAAAATGTTTATCCTACTGTATATGTTTGTAACATGGGATCTTATTATTTAGCATTAGAAATGTGCGCATATCATGTTAGCGTGTGTGTGTGTGTGTTTTTTACAAAAACGCACGCTTCTTTTTTCATCAGCAAAAGCCACGTGATCTCAACATATCCGCCCCCATGAGGCGACCCGCTCCATGTATAGAAGAGCGTTTATTTGGTTACTGGTATAACTGGACTGGAGACTATTTCATGTGAATCATCAAATAAACATTTCCCAAAGTACTATTCAATTATCTATGTGTAAAACTTATTAATGAGTGCAGCTTTAACATGCACAAAAATAGTCAAAGACGCAATTAGTCGCCCACAAACAGCTTACTTTCGCAAAAGAGCAGTGAAAGAGAAACATCAGCTGGAGTTATTAATAAGAATGAAGATTAGTGTGGCATTTATTATAATGGGTTTGTGTGACGCTTTTGATTAACAAAAGTCTGATCATTTGCAGACCTTTAATGTAAGAAATTGTGGCTTTAAAATATAATATTAAAATTAAAATTTAAAGAATAAAAAAGATTGTATTGCAATTCCAATGATTTATATATTTACGTATATTTATTTAACGTCAAATACAGCGTTATAGTGTTACATTTATTTTATAATATACAATACACGTACTTAAAAAAAACATAAGTAATATTGTTTTACTTTGTATTTTTTAAATCTGTATTTCTCTGTGACGAACATGAGAGCGACTGCATGACGTCACACCCATCGGATATTCTGAGCGCGTCGAACGTCAGGCGGTTTAAAGAGGAGCAAAGATGGCGGACAACAAAGGCCAAGATTGTACTGAGAGCTCCGCAAATATGGAGGTAGGGACTTCGGGAACAGAAGATAACGGAGACAGCGGCTCAAAGGACCCAGACGCGGTGATTTTAATCGACTCGGAGCCGAAGGAAGGAGCAGACGAGCTCAAGTCTCAAGAGACCGTTCCCCAAGCGCTGACGACATCCAGCAGCGGCGGCGGAGCTACAGACGGGACCCCAAATACCGAGAGCACCGAGCCTCCGCCGCCGTCCTCCTCCTCCTCCTCCTCCTCCTCAGCGGACAGCACCGCTGCTGGCGCATCACCCGCTCTCATTAACGAGATGTCGCCTCCACCACCAGCATCCTCAACCTCCTCCTCTTCAACCCCTGCCGCCCCGATAAACCTACTGGATACGTGCGCTGTGTGTAAACAGAGTCTCCAGAACCGCGACTGTGAACCCAAACTCCTGCCCTGCCTGCACTCCTTCTGCCTCAAGTGCATCCCGCAGCCGGAGCGAAAGATCACCGTCCCGGTGCAAGGGCCCCATGGACAGGACACTCGTATTGGTAAGTTAGGAAAAGGGAAGTTAGCTTCGCCAGTTCTGTCCCCAACTATTCTGTCCCCTATTCTAGTTCTGTCCCCGACTATTCTCTGCGTGGCTATGAATGCTGTATGCCTCCGACTCCCAAATATGCGCAAAGGACCCCTATCCTAAAATTTGAAAGGCAGCCATATATTTTTACGCATAAAGACCTAATTTATACTATGGAAAAGGGCAGCGGCTATTTGCACTAAGTGTAAATAGCGATAGATGCTGTTTACAGTAAGTGAAAATAGCATATTTACAGCAATAGATGCTATTTACAATTGCAAATAGCAATGGATTCTGTTTACACTAAGTGCAAAAAGCGATAGATGCTATTTACAGTAAGTGAAAATAGCAGCATTTTCTTAGCGATGTGTTATTTACACTAAGTGCAGATAGCGATAGATTCTATTTACACTTTGTAAAAATAGCAGGATTTTCTGCTATTTATACTATTTAATGCAAATAGTGGTAAAATATTATTTGGAACATTTTTAGTTACTATTAAGTCATTTATTTTTCCCCATACTCACCGTAGTACTATACCATTAGATAGCTATTCATTAATTAATTAATTCATTCATTCATTTTTTGCATTATTTATGTATCTATTAGGCCTAATTTGGTTAAACCTTGTTGTATTTTTTACATTCTTGCAATGTACTACTGATTGACTCTTTGTCACAATTTATATTGTTGCAATAATTATATATGCTTGCATAAAGCAATATATACTCTTGGAGATCTTGGATGTGATTGTTTTTGCCATTGCAAAATGTGAACTGTTATTGCACAGCTGTATATATAAAGTTAAATATTTGTATATCCAACTTTATTCACATATATGCAGTACACTCACATAAAGCTATATTGACCATTCAATCAACCTTTACAACAAAACAAGGGTTTTAAACTGGGGAGCCATTACAACTTTAAAGAAAACAACTGTGTATTTAAAAGAGAAAAATTGAAAAGCCCTTTATGCAGAAGCACAGATAATTCAATTTAGATGAAAGCGTCTGCTAAATTAATAAATGTAGATCATGTGATGCAAGTGTATTCAAAGTTTAGTTGTTGAAGCTGCGTCACTAAAAATAACAAGCTTTCAGGATGTCATGTTTGTGGTTATGCATATTTAACATGCGGTAACACATGGTGCAGTAAATGATGCATGTATCAAGAGATGAAATCTGATCCTGAGTGGTCACAGGTGATGCATTGGAGCTACATGGTAAATCTAGATGTAAACAGTGATTTGTCTCAACTGACCATTTGTGATTGGATCACCTAGGATGCATGTTAATACCTAGTGCAAACAAAGTCATTGTGTTTTTCCAGCAACCACCTTGTGTGAATCTTATCACATGCTATAGATCTTGCGAATTGTTGTGGAGGAATCTTTTATTGATGGTGTGAATTGAAGCAAAACTGCTAGGGTATGAACAAAATTACCTGAGTTTAGAAATGGATGAGGCAAGTATGAACCCCTCTGGGCACAATACAACAATGTATCGACATCTGAAAGACAAGAATGACATGTTCAAGGAAGAGTTTGGACACTGAAGATGTTTGAGAGAGGCCAAATGTGAAAATGCAGCAAGCGGATGGCTGAAAAGAGAAGTGCTGCTTATTAGACACCTACAACACTGTCCTTCAGGGCTCAACCCAATTTAGCCCCAATTGACACATTTTACTCCAATTCACACCAGTCTGTGATGAATCGAGCCCTGCAGATGTCACAGTGTTTGATGTTACATCTTCAGGGAGTCTTCACTGTTCTCATCTCATAACTGATGAAAGCCCTTCAAGTGTGGTGAAACTTTAAGCAACCAGAGTCTATATTTACGCCTGATGTTAATGTCCATTTCTGGTGATCCGATCACAAGTGGGCAGCAGAGGCAGATGGCTATCTTTCCCTGGTATAAACTTGTCATTTGTGACTGCTTGTGAACAGATTTTAAGAGGACTGTCTTCTGACTCCAGACATCAGAAACTGCCCACATTTAATTTCCACTGACCTAAGAGCAGAGCAGAACAGTGAGATAACTGACTACTTTATTGCTTTGATGCCCTGAGGTGGTGTTACAATGAATAAAATTCTCAATTTTTAGATTTTGTTTTAGATGGATGGAGTATAAAGTGTGAAAATAAAGTGTGCCGTGTGACATACATGGAATGTGTGACATCTGAATGTGTGTCACATTACCACATTGTACTTTTCAGCGTAAACCAGTGATCTTGTTGGAAAGTAAAACTTTTAAAAATGATTTTCATTAAACAAAATTAAGCTGTAACAATATAAATATTATATGACAAACTTAAAAAAAAAAAAAAAAAAGGTTTAAAAAATGTGAAAATTGCTTTGGGACTAACTGAAATAAGTTATAAAATTACCAAAGCAAAAACTGAAATAAAAACAAATTAAAGCTAAAAGGAATTAATTAAAACAAAATGTTTAAAAAATGTGAAAATTGCTTTGGGACTAACTGAAATAAGTTATAAAATTACCAAAGCAAAAACTGAAATAAAAACAAATTAAAGCTAAAAGGAATTAATTAAAACAAAATCTAATAAAATGACCAAAGTGCATAACAGAATTGCTAAAACATAAACTAAAATTAAGATGAAAACATTATATAAAAATAAAAGCCAATTCTAAATACTTTAATAAAAAATAATACTAAAATAACACTGGTGATTTAGTTTTTTTATCTAGTGTTTAAGTTAAGTGTTATCTTAGTGTTTCATCTAGTTTTGTTGTGCACAAGCCACAAGTCTAGTTTTTGTTGTTCTGGAAACACAATTTCACAATTTGTTCTGGATCACAATTACCTTGCCTCTCTGCATCTGATGTTAATGGTTCCTAGTTTGGCATTAGAAAGTTCATCATTTTGAGGCCCAGAATTTGTTTCATTTCAGTCATTCATAATATTCTTCTCTTCCCTTATCATTCCCTCCATCACCGTGTAAAGAGTGTGACCAAAGAGAGGAGTGTGAAGCTGCTAAGCCAACAGAGGGACATCAGCTGCCTGGCCCAGCAGATCATCCATGTGCTCAACTTCACCAACTGGGCCATCAGCAATGGAAGCAGCACAGCCCTGCTCTACAGCAAGAGACTGGTCAGCCTTATTTCTTTTACAAAAACACCTGTTTACTTTTCTTTTAGGTTCTGTTTTTGCAAATGTGTCATTTGTATTGGCACTACACCTTCCATCAATAACAGTACTGTCTTTGGAGATGCCACTTACACTATTTCAAACATAACTACTTCCTTCATTTTAAAGGATGTTGTTTAATCAGGATCTGGACCTTGCTGACATCAGTTACTTAAATGACAAACAGCATTGCTATTGTAGACTCTTCTGTACTTTGTGTCTTTCCTCATTTGCTTTTTTTTTGGATTTTGTCAACACTGTAGATCACATACCAGCTGCATTTCATTATGAAGGCCCGTGTGGACCCAGTACCTCAAAGTAATGGAGCAGTCCGCTTCTTCTGCGACCCCACCTTCTGGGCCAAGAATGTGGTTAACCTTGGTACTGACTCAACACTAACTAAACTTGCAGCGGAAACCTGTTTTTATAGCGCACACAGAGCAAAAGTCCTTTTACACCAAGTTTACATTTTCATGAATACATTAAAAAATTTAACATTGTGTCTGAAATATAATTTTACAGTTTTTTAATTTTTTTTAATTTAATTTAGTTTTTTAAATTACTGCGGCCGATTTTAGTGTATTGCATTTTGTTTTGTTTATATATATTAAAATTAAACATTTTGGTGTGAAATATCGTATTATTGTGTTTTTATTTACAATTTGTTTTAATAAACATTTATTATTAATAGTATAGGAATATCATATTGCATCATTTTTGTTTTATTTTTTTTTTCCCCCCGAACTATCATAATACAGTATTTTATTTTATTTTATTTTATTTTTTTACTTTTTCAGAGCATGGTGTGAATTCAGACTTGGTGTGAACAGGCGTTTATATGCTTTCAGGTGCATTCTCTCCTTTTTTGTCCAGGCAATCTGGTTATTGAAAAAGTGCCACATACTGCTCCTCCTCCCCAAATGATGGTCAATCAGCAGATCTCTCCCAGTCACAATCACCCAGGTAAGCACTCAGGACAGATCAACCTGGCCCAGCTGAGGTTGCAGCACATGCAGCAGGCTGCAATCGCTCAGAAGCACCAGCACCAACAGCAGCAGCAGCACCAACAACAGCAGCAGCAGCAGCAGCAGCAGCAACAAATTCAGCAGCAGATGCGCATCGCCTCACAGATGTCCCAGCATCCCAGACAAGGAGGTCCACCACAGATAACCAGTATACAGCAACCGGTAAGTTAGAGATTAGATCTTGCCTGCTTTTCCACACATGTCTGGTTTATTCTGGACCAGTGTGCTGTTTAACTAGGAAAGCTTGTAAAGCTGGAAAACCTGGTTGCCCAGCTCTGTTTTTCGGTGAAAGTTGATGACCATTAAGGTCTTTCTGGTTAAGCTTCATATTTGTCAGATGAACATTGTTAAACACTACATTCTTTTAGTGTTATATCTCTTTCTTCCTAAAAGTGAGTTTTAATTTTGAAATAACTTTTCGATTTGTTCAGAATGGATGTCAGCAAAATTATATTTTGTTTATTCTGATTTTGAAATTATAGTCATCCGACGTGTTTATTCCTGATTGTATGATTTGTTGTTCTAAGGGCCCGGTTGTCATTTCTTCCTCTGTCTTGCTTTTCAGCCACCAAGGCTCATTAGTATGCAGGCCCTCCAGAGGGGTGGGGTCAATGGCTCCTCCCACATGTATCCACCTCATCACATGCGCATGGTATCAGCGCAGAACCGCATGCCTTCAGTGCAGCCCCGACTCAACGGGCAACCATATCCTATGATGCAGCCTCAATTACAGAGACAGGTCAGTGCAGAGACTCTAGCAGGTCATATGATAAAAACCAAAATTTTAAGATGTCTCTCTTTTCCTTGGATGATTTTGATCGCACCTGGTTACTGCAGGCACTATGTGAGTCTCTCAGCAGAGCTAAAACACACTGTGCAGACAGAGCAGACACAGCACACCCTAAGGACTGAAAAAAACCTGGAAATCGACTAGGTCTATTACACCCGTTCAGATCATGGTGTCAGCAACGTGGGTTGAATTTTCAAACTTTTTACAATATTCACAACTTTGCATGATTTTTCCAGTCATTCTAAATTATTAGTTAAATATAGTAATAATAATAATAATTATTATTATTATTATTATTTTCTAGAGAACTTTGCATTGAAATATTGTTGAGCTGACCAATATATATATATATATATATGTATATATGTATATATATAATTTTTTTTATTTAGGGTTGCAAGGGTGGAAAATTTCCGGTAAATTTCCAGAAACTTCCAAAATTTCCAAACATTTCCGAAAGTTTCTAAAAAATCCTGGAACATTTCCAAAATGACTGGAGTTTTTCTGACATTTACAATATGCAATACCTAGTAATATAATTCATAAAATAAACATTTCAGATAATTTATTAAACCAGTAAATAAAAATGTATGTTGTTTAATACTTTAAACAGCCAGTTTTAACACATACTGTGTCATTATTTGAGTAAGTAGTGAGTAATTTCTTAGCGCTGCTTAACATTCTTATTCATACTCTAATAATATTTATAAAGACATTAGCCGCTTTTCCACTGTCGGGCCAGTGCGAGCCAGTGCTTTAAACGGGCCGGACGCAGCTATTCAGTGTCTTTAATATAGAGGCTTAGGGTTTTCAGATGTTGTTTTCTTTATTTTTGTTTGAGAAAAAAATTAGTAAATTGTCTTGTCTTTTACACAGGGCTAATATAAACAACAACACATTCCACATTCAGAAAAAAGTAAATGTACCTGCTGTATGAAAGAATTTTTGCCATTTTCCAACACCTTTCCCTTTTTTCCCCTCATAGCACTCTAATCCTGGGCATGCTGGGCCCTTCCCTGTGGCGTCGCTACACAACATTAGTGCTGCCAACCCCACCAGTCCCACCAGTGCCAGTATGGCCAATGCCTACATTCACCGTGGCCCCACTAGTCCTGTTGTCGCCCCCATAGAGCTCATACCATCAGTCACCAACCCCGAAAACCTGCCTTGCCTGCCTGACATCCCTCCCATTCAGGTAACGTACTATTGCATTTCCTTAGACTGATTGTCAGATGATTGGATGTTGTGGAATGATTTAGTGGTTATAGATCTGGCCTGGTAACCCAAAGGTTGTAAGTTCAAACCCCAGAAAGTGCGATCATGAGGATACAAATCTAATACTCAGGTGGAAATTTAATAAAGGACCTAAATGTAATAACATTTGGGCTTAAATGTAATAAAGCATTTAAATGTAATAACTGTTGGGCCTAAATGTAATAAAGGTTTTAAATATAATTAGGTTTAAGGCACCTAAGGCAACGAGACAAAGACAATCCCTATGCTTGGATCTGCTATTATTGTTTTTTATATAACAGACGCTTCCTTAACCGAAGCAAAATTAAACAAAGCTGAATTGATTTAGAGCTCATGTGTTTTTTGTTTTTGTAATTTTCAGCTTGAAGATGCCGGTTCGAGCACACTGGATAACATTCTCAGTCGATATATTTCTGCTAGTTCATATCCTGCTGTTGGCCCCACCAATCCCTCACCGGGACCTTCTACACATTCCCCAGGATCGTCAGGTATTTTCTGGGTGAATTTTTAACATGAATAATTTGGATTCCAAATGTTCGTGTAAATTAGCATGCATTTAAATAATGTCATGAAATATTCATGCACATCAGAATTTGGTATGTATAATATTTATATATGCTTAATATATGCCATACTCATCTTGCTCTCGGTACTATATGGCATAAACTCCTATCCAACCAACCTGGGGGGCCAAGGCAATGCTAGTTGCCTGGCTCAGTGCCTCTGGTTCCGTATGGCAAAGTCTCCCATCCAACCATATGCACCAACCCTGGGGCTCAGGCTGCATTATTAATGCCATATGCTACTTCACCACACAGCCTTATGTGCCAATTCCGCCAACAACTCCAGCTAGCATATACATGCATTGCTGTGCACCATTGTTACGATAACTAAAACTATCAAAAAACAATTTTCGGTAATTTAAATAAAAAAACAATTAATGGATGAAAAACATTAAAAGTTAGAAATGTTGCCTAGGCCGCTATCTGAAATAAGTTGAAGTACTAAAAACACTAAAACTGCTAAAAAAGATGCTAAAAAATCAATAAAAATAAAAATGAGACAAGCACAACAAAATGAGTAAAAGTAAAATGAAAACGGAAAGCAAAAGCAAATTTAAAATATGAATAAATACCGTTAATACTGTTATATAAATAATATTAACACTGTTGTGCACTTTACTTTCAAATAAGGAAATTCTAAGTGAATATAGGGTGATAACGTGCAATATTTTATAGCTTCTCCAAATTAAATCAGCCATTCTGTTTAAAATTTTTTTAAATATTTAAAATATTATTCATATCATTCTACCTAGTGAATTGTTTTTTTTTTTTTACAAAGCCTTAAATTAAATCATACATTTGTAAATGATTTATATGATTCAAAGTGAATACTTAAGTTTGTTAAATGCAGTTTCTTATGACACTTAATTGACATCCAGAATTTTAATGATCATGCCAACTATAACCATCGGCATATATTAAGTTGATAATTTAGCGATTTTACAAAATTCTGATTAATTTTGAATTTTGTACCTCTTGGAAATTGACAGAAATATGCATTATTAAAACTTAGACTGGTTAGATTGGTTTTTGCCCTCAGCTATAACAATATCTGCTAACTTGTTAATTTTCTAAAGATTTGATTCTTTTAACACTCTCTCTGTATCTCTTCTCTAGGTTTATCTAATTCTCACACTCCAGCTCGTCCATCCAGCACGTCAAGCACGGGCAGCAGGGGCAGGTCAGCATTTGCATTTAAAAAAAAAAATCTTGTTTCTGTTCTTTGAATAATATTACTTGCAGTAATATCAGCAGTTGTTAATTATAGCTTAGGAACTGTATATCTGAAAAAAGAGACATTGAGTGAAAAAGTGTTATTTGTGTCTTCTGTCTTTGCTTATGTGTGTGGGTTCAGTTGTGGGTCAGCTGGTAGACCTGGGATGGGGAACACGGCAGTGGACCAGGTGAAGGTCAAACAGGAACCGGGAGTTGAGGAAGAATGTAGCTATTCTGGAGCAAACGTCAAAACAGAGCACTGTAAAGATGGCAGACGGAGTGCTTGCATGGTATTTATCTTCAGCTTACAGTTTCTTACGAATATGAATAAGTTTATTTTGTTTCTTCTTGGTTCTGAGAGATACAGTTTGTTTCATGTTATGCAATGTCTTTCTGTTGCTCTTCTTCTTCCTCAAACCAGATGAGCAGCCCAGAAGGAAGCCTAACTCCCCCTCTTCCTGTCCTTGGCTCCGTGTCCACCGGTTCAGTCCAGGACATTTTAAGAACACTTGGTGAAAATGTTAAATCTGAACCACAGAGCAATCAGCGCTCATCCTGTACGAAGTCAAACTCCAGCGCACCTCTAACCAATGGGACCACCGCGTCAAATGGTAGTCAGCAGGGGAGCACCGCTAACGCCAACAGCCAGACCACTGTAGGAAAGGAAGACGACCCAAACGAGGACTGGTGTGGCGTGTGTCAGAATGGAGGAGAACTGCTGTGCTGTGATCGCTGTCCTAAAGTCTTCCACATGACCTGCCATATCCCAACACTCAAATCTTCTCCCAGGTAAAGAATGTGGCTTTATTTATACAGATGATGCAACACATTTAATTCAGCATTAATGCTGTTTTTGTGTAGTACATCTGGCCTGGTAACTGAAAGGTTATGGGCTTGAACCCAACAAGTTGCAATCGGTGAACTATTAGCAATGTGTGCTTGAGTACGACACTTAATCCTAGTTGTCTGTCACTTTGGTTAACCGCAGATCATTTGCTACTCATTATCTAAATGTAGGAAATTACCATTAAAGCTGATTGTATTTATTTACATCGTTACATTTACTAATCATAACTGACTAGTATTGGATTTTTTATTTTATTTTTTTTTTGTATTTTTATTAAGATGCTATCTGTAGAATTTCTAATTATGACTATTTTTTTATTTCTTAAATTATTCTATTATTTATTCATTTATATATTCAGTTTACCTTTTTTATTTGTTTAAAATGTATTTTTATTATTATTATTAGATTTTTAAGATGCCATTAATAGCATATTCTTTTATTTTATTTAAAAAATTTCATGCCACCGATAGCATTTCTATTCATAAATGACTAATTTTATTTTATTTTATTTTTATTTGTAACACCAGTGACAAATTGTCATAGTTTTCTAAGATTCTACCAATAGCATTTCATGACACGTCATCTGTCTTATGCTGGGTTCAGACTACACAATATTTTTGTCGGTCACGATAGTCAGTGTCAGATTACACGGTTTTGACTCCTAAAATCTTGTCGTGTCGTGGACAAGAAACATGTCAGACTACACGTTGCTTCCCGACCATTCATCGCGTGCCGTCTTTAACGACGCGCGTGATGTCATCGAGAAGGCGGAACTAGCAACTGACTTCCGAACCATAATAGTCTAATGCAATACATGTAGCAAGGTTTTTTCATAATAAGTTGAAAGAATAGTAAAAGAATAGAGAGCGCTAGTGTTAGAGGCATTTTTTATAATAAATAAAAAGAAAACAAGTAGATTGAATAGAGAATGCATTGATATTATACCACTGTGCCCACCGGGGATTGTTGGCTCTAAAAGGGCGCGGTGGTATAATATCAATGTTAAATTATTATGTTGTTAATTATTCAAATTTTTTTTGCACAGCTTGTTAGACCATGCACTAATACTTAACTTGGGCAAGCAAAATGAGCAGAGAGATAAATAACTGACCAATTTGTTTAGCCAGTCATAACAGAGAGGTCATTTACATACTGTATTGTGGTCATAAAAGTTCAGTAGCGTAAAAGCTTGTAGGTCAGATTTAGCCATCAAGTTGGTACATATGGTTAAATGAAACCAAGGGCACTGAGCAAGCATTTACAGTGCCAATGAAGCTAGCATAGCCTTACATTTACATTTTAATTTAGTCATTTAGCAGACACTTTTATCCAAAGTGACTTACAAATGAGGACAATAGAAGCAATCATCATAACAGAGAGGTAATTTACATACTGTATTGTGGTCATAAAAGTTCAGTAGCGTAAAAGCTTGTAGGTCAGAGAGAGGTTGGAAAATATTCTTGAAAACCTAAATTATGGTTAGAAACTTGGACTAATATTAATAAATGGACTTCAGGGTAAAAACAAACATGTATGAATGTTTTAAGGCTTTAATTCCTTTTTGTGTGATGTGTGTGTTAAATGATGTTATACCTTCATTCTGCTGCAGTGGAGATTGGATGTGCACCTTCTGCAGAAGTCTCACAAATCCAGAGATGGAATACAACTGTGATGACGATCCACCCAGTAAGAAGGACAAGAGTGAGACGGCAATGAGTCCAGAGGACCAGCGAGTGAGTCACACTGAGAAACAAACACAATCATATTTAAAAAATGAGTGAACTATGGGGAGCACATAGTACTTTAGCCCTAATTGGTTGACTGGCAAAGTAAGATTGCTTTTGTGTGATTTAATTTATCCCAATACTTCATACCAGACACTCTATAATTTAATATAAATTATGCACAGTATATTGTTTTGACAAACAGTAATGATGTTTGGCTTTAAAATATTTGCTAAAAATGTGAACCTTAGTGACCCAGCAATCAGATATGGTCTACAAAGCTTGTCCACCAGAGTTCCTCATTAATATATTTCAAGTTTTTGCACAACTGCAGATTGTTAATGTTTCTTCTCTCCTCTTCCTGTATTTTTAGCGTTGTGAGCGCTTGCTGCTGCACGTGTTTTGTCATGAGCTCAGTACAGAATTTCAAGAGCCTGTTCCTATATCGGTGAGTTTCCATCAAGCCCACAATATCCTCATTTCCCATAAATGCAGACGTTTCTGATGACGTGTTCTTAAAGGGCAAAGCTCAGATGTGTAATTGAACCATTACTCAGTACGAGTGGTAATATTTAATTGCTGCCTCTCTGCTAGGTCATTAACACTACTGCAATAAAGCTTCTAAAACAGCAACATCGCTCACATGAACATCTGTAGTGACTCCAGTCATCTGTTTTCAAACATGTATTGAGCCTCTGGGCCATTTCCTGCTGTTATTTGTCATAGCAGGATTATGATTCTTGTGTAATTACGTTATTGAGTGAATGCAATAATGCATCAGGCTGACGGGTAATAACAATGATTTTGTAATTTCATTGAATTTGGTCTTATATACCCCCTCACTTTGCTCTTTCATGACTACTTCAGTCCATGGCTCAGTTCTAAAACCTAGTGAGCTCTACTGCTGTCTACATGGGGATTTTCCTTCTAAGGCAGAACAAGTGATGTCATTGTTGTCAGATTTTATTCCTGATATGAAATGTTATTTAAATGTCACATTGACAAACAGCTTTCAGTCTTTCCTTATTCATAATATATAGAAGCTGTACTTACATGACTGAAGGGCACTAATAAGATGGCTGCCAAGTAAATTGTCTTTCCTGACAAGCGATACTCTAGAAAATCGACATATTTGGCAGAACTCTTTAAGTATACACAACTAGAGTGAAATTTTCATTTTCTGTCTATACTCTTGAAATGTTTTTTTAATCATAATTTACCTTCTGAGCTGAGCGGTTGTTAATTGTATTATTATTTATATACTATTATAGTATTGATATTTTGAATCCGCTAATATATTTTCAGTTTTCATTTTAATTTTAGTAATTTTATGTGGTTTTGTCATTTAGTTTTTTTTGTTTTGTTTCTAGTTAACTTTTTATTTCTTATTTAGTTATTTTAGTACTTTAACTTATTTTTAGTTATTTGCCAAGGCAACATTTCTAATTTTGACACTTTTTTTAAAGTTTTTGTTTTTCATCTAATATTTATGTTTTATTTCAACTTCATTTCAGTTATCGAAAATGGTTTGTAATAGTTTTAGTAACTTCATCATGTGATTTTGTCATTATTTTTTATGGTTTTACTTAACTTTATTTTTATTTGTTTTACTTAATTTTAGTACTTCAACTTGTTTTATTTCTTTATAACTTACATTTCTAATTTTTAAGTTTTTTAAAGTTTAAGTTTTTCATGTAACATTTTATTTTAGCTTCATTTTAATGAATGAATATGATTTTTAATGGTTTTAGTGTTAGCTAACAACACTGGAGCAGAGAAAACTGAGCTTGCTGCAATGCATTATGGGCCTTTTGCTTTTGGCTAAAGACATTTCCACACTGAGCGCGAAAAAGCAAAACGAATATTGGACGCGATGACGCACTGGAATAAAACAATACATTTCTATGGAGGCTTCCACATAGACCACGAACATTCGCGTCCCGACAATGCGAATGTTTTTTTTTCCGCACCAGTCCGACGAATCTTTTCAGTTTTGCAAAGCGAAAACACGGGCCGTCCAATAAGATTTGAGCAAGGATCACGTGACCGGAGCAGCTGCTGTTGCACAAAAAGGCAAGAGTGGTGGCACTGTTTCGAAAACCAGTGTAAACTAACACAGAAGAAGAGTATCCCGGATAAGAGAAGAGAGTGGAAGCTGAGTTCTTGTTATCGTTGGTATTTGAGAACAGATTTATTCTCACTTGTTCTTTATACAGAATAACATTTCTATTAATTGTCCACTGAATTATGTGATCTG